AAAAATCCACGCCTTTGTTGGAGTTTGGAAAAAATATTCTTTAAAAAATCCACGCCTTGTTGGAGTTTGGAAAAATATTCTTTAAAAATCCACGCCCTTTGTTGGAGTTTGGAAAAAATTTCTTTAAAAAATCCCGCCTTGTTGGAGTTTGGAAAAAAAATTCTTTAAAAATCCACGCCTTTGTTGGAGTTTGGAAAAATATTCTTTAAAAAATCCCGCCTTTGTTGGAGTTTGGAAAAAAATATTCTTTAAAAATTCCACGCCTTTGTTGTAGTTTGGAAAAATATTCTTTAAAAATCCACGCCTTTGTTGGGTTTGGAAAAAATATTCTTTAAAAAAAAAAATCCCGCCTTTGTTGGAGTTTGGAAAAATATTCTTTAAAAAATCCACGCCTTGTTGGAGTTTGGAAAAAATATTCTTTAAAAAATCCACGCCTTTGGTGTTTGTTAAAAAAATATTCTTTAAAAAATCCACGCCTTTGTTGGAGTTTGGAAAAAATATAAACGCTCGTGAGGAAATATCTTTAAAAATCCAAGCCTTTGGTGTTGATTAAAAAATATTCTTTAAAAAATCCCGCCTTTGTGGAGTTTGGAAAAAATATTCTTTAAAAAATCCAAGCCTTTGTGGAGTTTGGAAAAATATTCTTTAAAAAATCCAAGCCTTTGGTGTTGATTGAAAAATATTCTTTAAAAAATCCACGCCTTTGGTGTTTGATTGAAAAAATATTCTTTAAAAAATCCACGCCTTTGTGTTGATTGAAAAAATATTCTTTAAAAATCCACGCCTTGGTGTTGATTGAAAAATATTCTTTAAAAATCCAGGCCTTTGGTGGTCCTTGAAAAAAAAATCTTAAAAAAATCCACGAATTTGGTGGTCCTTGAAAAAAATATTCTTTAAAAAATCCACACCTTTGGTGGCCTTGAAAAAAAAATCTTAAAAAAATCCACGAATTTGGTGTGTCCTTGAAAAAATATTCTTTAAAAAATCCACGCCTATGGTGGTCCTTGAAAAAAATATTCTTTAAAAAATCCATCCTTTGGTCCTTGAAAAAAATATTCTTTAAAAAATCCAGGCCTTTGGTGGTCCTTGAAAAAAATATTCTTTAAAAAATCCACGCCTATGGTGGTCCTTGAAAAAAATATTTTTAAAAAAATCCACTCCTTTGGTGGTCCTTGAAAAAAATATTCTTTAAAAAATCCAGGCCTTTGGTGGTCCTTGAAATAAAAATTTTAAAAAAATCCACGCCTTTGGTGGTCCTTGAAAAAAATATTCTTTAAAAAATCCACGCCATTGGTGGTCCTTGAAAAATTATTTTTTTTAAATCCACGCCTTTGGTGTTCGTTGAAAAATTATTTTTTAAAAAATCCACGCCTTTGGTGGTCCTTGAAAAATTATTTTTTAAAAAATCCACGCCATTGGTGGTCGTTGAAAAATTATTTTTTAAAAAATCCACGCCTTTGGTGGTCCTTGAAAATTATTTTTAAAAAATCCACGCCTTTGGTGGTCGTTGAAAAATAATTTTTTAAAAAAATCCACGCCTTTGGTGGTCCTTGAAAAAAGTATTCTTTAAAAAATCCACGCCTTTGATGGTCCTTGGAAAATAATATTCTTTTAAAAATCCACGCCTTTGTTGGACTTTGGAAAAAATATTATTTAAAAAATCCACGCCTTTTGGTGGTCCTTGAAAAAAGTATTCTTTAAAAAATCCACGCCTTTGATGGTCCTTGGAAAATAATATTCTTTAAAAAATCCACGCCTTTGTTGGACTTTGGAAAAAATATTCTTTAAAAAATCCACGCCTTTGTTGGACTTTGGAAAAAATATTCTTTAAAAAATCCATATTTAAAATAAATGAATAACAATTTTTTCTTTATTTTCTAAAACAGTCTCCTTAAATCTCTTCAAAATTCAAATAAATCGGATGTACCGTAGACATAGTTGGTGCTTCGGGTTTGAACTCGAGCGGAACTTTCGTCTTCGAACTCAAAGTGAAACGATAACGATTAACAATATTGGCCAACGAGAGGCGTGACTGGAGTTTACCAAATCGAAGGCCAATGCAATTGCGTGGTCCATCACCAAAACCCAACCATTCGACAGATTCGCGATTGCGTGTCATTTCGGGGGAGAAACGTCGGGATCAAATTGCTCTGGATTGGGATAGAGTTCGGGATCGTTGTGTATGCCCAGAGTGGGTATGAAGGCCATTGTGCCTGCCTCAATGGTGTATTTCGGGTAGCCGGGTATGGCATAGTCCTTTGAGGGCTTGGCGTGTTAGAAATGGTACCACGGGGTATTTGCGCAGGGATTCTGGGAGGGGAGAAAAGGAAGTTATTTTTGTTTTAGAAAAGGTTTCAATGGGTTCTCACTTACCACACAACACCTGATTGAGATAGGGCATTTCCGATAGACTTTCATAGGTAAATTGTTCGGAATCGCATTTCTTCAAAGTCTCTTTGACCTCCTGGCGTAGACGTTCCTGCATTTCCTGATTTTGGGCCAGCTCAAAGAGAGCAAATGTCACCGTGGAGGAGGAGGTTTCAAAACCACCCAAAAGAAGACAAACACCTGGGCAGCCAACTCCTCATAGCTCAGACCACCCAGACCCGATTTGTCCTCCTTGTTGTTCTTCAATTCAATTAAAATATTCAAAAGTCATTCCGCTGAATCTTATTCTCCTCACGATATTTCACCGTATCCACAATGGTTTTCATAAAGAATTGATGGACATCTTCGGGGAGGATGCGCATGCCCAAGGCCCTGGCCAGCTTGGGGAAACTATCAATGAAAGCCATGATCAAACTATTGTGGCGCGGGACCTCAAGGGATTTACGTCCCAGGCGCACGAATTCATCTTCGGTATTTTTCAAACTGTTACACTCAATGCCAAAGGCCACACGTCCAATGATCTCAGTGCCCAGGCGGCCCAGCAAATCACGAACATCCACCGCTCCATTTGCGCCCTTTTGGACATGCTCATCCAGAACAGTCATGAAATCCGATATTACCTCCAACACCGTGGGATACATAAACTTCATTTTGCCCGAGGTAAAGGCCGGCGATACCTTATTTCTCATGCTACGCCATTTATGGCTATCGATGAAGAACAGGTGGCCCGTCAATGGGTCCTCCTTCTCATTATAGTACATGCCACGATCGGTGAAGTTATTGAAATCCTTGATCATCACATTCTTAATGGTGGGTATATCCAAGAGCAGGGCCACCGGACGTTGTCCCAAATAGAGCCCAGCAAAGGGTCCGGTACCCTTGAATTTCATATAATAATCCGCCATAATTTGGCTCAGCGATCGTTTGGTACGATAATCCTGCATATTGCCGAACAACATGTGCGGGGCATCGTGAGGGATGCCACGCTTCTTCCAATAATTCAGATTTCGCCGTAAAAATAGCACCGCCACCGAAATGAGAGCGGTGAGAAGGTATAAAAGCACGCTTGTAAATTCCATGTTAGTCGCGGTGTGGTTTGTTGCGGACTGGACTTCGTTTGCCGAAGTCGAGAAGCTTTTATAACATGTGTCAACTCATGATTACTGATTATTTTGCGACGCGACGTCGCTTTTGCGATGATAGGGCAATAAAGTAGACGAAATTTTGGTATTCATGACAAGAACTTTGATAATGATTCGGCAGAAATAAGAGGTGAACGCTATAGGTGGCATGTGCGGATTTGATTGGTGGGTAATGACGGAGCATTTTTTATGGCCAATTTGAAGTTTGGAGAAGTGAAAATTGAAATTTTTGAGACTTTTTTGCGACGTTCCTCAGTGCCTGAGGCAGATTTTTTTCTATACGGAAAAAAGTCTCCTCAGTGCCTGAGGCAGATTTTTTTCTATGCGAAAAAAGTCTCCTCAGTTCCTGAGGCAGATTTTTTTCTATGCGAAAAAAGTCTCCTCAGTTCCTGTGGCAGATTTTTTTCTATGCGACAAAAGTCTCCTCAGCTCCTGAGGCAGATTTTTTTCTATGCGACAAAAGTCTCCTCAGTTCCTGAGGCAGATTTTTTTCTATACGTAAAATCTCCTCCTGAGGAGATTTTTTTTCTATACGAAAAAAGTCTCCACATGAGGAGATTTTTTTTCTATACGAAAAAAGTCTCCACCTGAGGAGATTTTTTTTCTATACGAAAAAAGTCTCCTCCTCCTGAGGAGATTTTTTTCTATACGAAAAAGTCTCCTCCTCCTGAGGAGATTTTTTTCTATACGAAAAAAGTCTCCTCCTCCTGAGGAGATTTTTTTCTATACGAAAAAGTCTCCTCCTCCTGAGGAGATTTTTTTCTATACGAAAAAAGTCTCCTCCTCCTGAGGAGATTTTTTTCTATACGAAAAAAGTCTCCTCCTCCTGAGGAGATTTTTTCTATACGAAAAAAGTCTCCTCCTCCTGAGGAGATTTTTTTCTATACGAAAAAAGTCTCCTCCTCCTGAGGAGATTTTTTTCTATACGAAAAAAGTCTCCTCCTCCTGAGGAGATTTTTTCTATACGAAAAAAGTCTCCTCCTCCTGAGGAGATTTTTTTCTATACGAAAAAAGTCTCCTCCTCCTGAGGAGATTTTTTTCTATACGAAAAAAGTCTCCTCCTCCTGATTAAGTCTACCTCCTCCTGAGGAGATTTTTTTCTATACGAAAAAAGTCTCCTCCTCCTGAGGAGATTTTTTTCTATACGAAAAAAGTCTCCTCCTCCTGAGGAGATTTTTTTCTATACGAAAAAAGTCTCCTCCTCCTGAGGAGATTTTTTTCTATACGAAAAAAGTCTCCTCCTCCTGAGGAGATTTTTTCTATACGAAAAAAGTCTCCTCCTCCTGAGGAGATTTTTTTCTATACGAAAAAAGTCTCCTCCTCCTGAGGAGATTTTTTTCTATACGAAAAAAGTCTCCTCCTCCTGAGGAGATTTTTTTCTATACGAAAAAAGTCTCCTCCTCCTGAGGAGATTTTTTCTATACGAAAAAAGTCTCCTCCTCCTGAGGAGATTTTTTTCTGTACGAAAAAAGTCTCCTTCTCCTGACGAGATTTTTTTCTATACGAAAAAATCTCCTCCTCCTGAGGAGATTTTTTTCTATACGAAAAAAGTCTCCCCTCCTGAGGAGATTTTTTTCTATACGCAAAAAGTCTCCTCCTGAGGAGATTTTTTGTTCTATACGGAGAAAAGTCTCCTCCAACTGAGGAGATTTTTTTTTTGTCTCCCCTCCTGAGGAGATTTTTTTTTGTACGAAAAAAGTCTCCTCCTAATGAGGAGATTTTTTTCTGTACGAAAAAAGTCTCCTCCTAATGAGGAGATTTTTTTCTATACGAAAAAAGTCTCCTCCTAATGAGGAGATTTTTTTCTGTACGAAAAAAGTCTCCTCCTAATGAGGAGATTTTTTCTGTACGAAAAAAGTCTCCTCCTAATGAGGAGATTTTTTTCTGTACGAGATTTTTTTCAATACGAAAAAAGTCTCCTCCTCCTGAGGTAGATTTTTTTTTATACGAAAAAAAGTCTCCTCCTGAGGTAGATTTTTTTTCTATGCGAAAAAGGTCTCCTCCTGGGGAGATTTTAGCTCTTAATTTCTTTTTTTAAATTTTATTAAATACATTTATTTATTTTAAAACTACAAAACTATAAAACAAAAAAAAATCAGTCCTGATTTATATTAAACTTTAGAGAGATAATCTCCCACCCCTAAATCGCCTCCAATTTCAGGTAGACATCATGCCGTGGTGTCAACACCAAAGGCTTTGCCTGAAATGTCAAGTGCAATGGGGTCTTTGAGCAAACTACAACCCGAAAATATTTCAAAACACATGCCAAGCCAAGGCGGGTTTGCATTTTGGCAAATCGGGCGCCAATACAGTTTCGGGGCCCATCTCCAAAGGGCATCCATTCGATGGAATCACGTTGCTTCACCATATCTGGTGAAAAACGTTCCGGATCAAATTCATCGGGTTGGGGATAGAATTCCGGATCATGTTGTATGCCCATGACGGGTATGAAGATGGGTGTTCCCTTGGGTATTCGAAATTTGGGGTGTCCAGGCACCACATAGTCATTTAAGGCCTGGCGATTTAAGAAGGGTAAAATGGGGTATTTGCGTAGAGTTTCTGGAGAGGGGAAAGGAGGGGAATTAACATCTGAAAAAAATGTTTTGTTTTTGAATACAACTCACCCGATATCACCTGATCCAGATAACTCAAATTCATTATGGTCTCATAGCTAGGTTTTGTATCCCCCTCAAATGCCTCATTGATCTCCTCCCTTAATCTCTCCTGTATCTGCTGATTTTGGGCCAATTCATACAGGGCATAGGCCATGGTCGACGAGGAGGTTTCAAAACCAGCCAAAAAGAAAACAAATACCTGGGCTGCCAACTCTTCCAGCTCCATTCCGCCCAACCCTGACTTATCATCCACAGTATTCTTCAGTTCAATCAGAATATTCAGAAAATCACTTCTTTGGATTTTATTCCTCTCACGATATTCCACCGTTTCCCGGATGGTCTGCATGAAAAACTCATGGACATCCTGGGGCAAAGTGCGCATGCCCAGCATTCTGGATAGGCGGGGAAACCCATCAATTAATGTCATGATCAGGGCATTATGGCGCTGTACTTCAATAGATTTCCTGCCAAGCTGCAGAAATTTATCCTCAGCATTTCTCAGGCTATTGCATTCAATGCCAAAGGCCACACTGGCGATCACATCCACGGTGAAACGTCCCAGCATATCGCGTACATCCACAATGGGATTTTCTCGGACCTTTTGAGTCAAAACTTCCATAAAACGCTCGGCCACATTTACTACTGTCGGGTACATATATTTCATTTTACCCGAGGTAAAGGTGGGAGAGAGCTTGTTGCGCAAGTTCCGCCATTTATCGCCATCCAAAAAGAACAGATGTCCAGTCAAAGGATCCGATTTCTCATTGTAATACAGACCACGATCGGTGAATTGTGTGAAATCCTTGATCAAGACCTGCTTGATTAGTTGTTTGTCCAGCAGCACCACCCCGGGTCTCTGGCCGTTGAAAATGCCGGCAAAGGGTCCGCAGCCCTTAAATTTCCTATAATAATCGGCCAAAATGTCACCCATACACCGCTGGGTCCTCAACCCATTCATATTGCCCATCAGGGCCGTTGGTTCCTCATGGGGTATACCCAGCCTCTTCCAATAGCTTAGATTCCTTCTCAGCAAATAAACCACAGCCGAGGCAATGACCAAAATGAGATATATCAAAACTCCCGATGTCTCCATAATGTAACTTGATGCCTTGATGCAATGCAACCAACCGGACTAACTGAACAGCTACCCAGCAATCCTGAATTATATATACCGCACTTGAGGGAGTGTTTTTGTTGTTGTAAGCATCTTCTTCTTATCAGAGAATTCAATTGGATTTTCAATTGTTTGTATGTTTTGATAATAGCGTGGCGTTCGAGTGCAATATAACAATTTTGTTGTTGTTGTTGTTAATAAATTCCATTAGACGAAAACAAAGCACCCTTGGAGGTGTAAATGCGTAGCATTTACAGGGAGAAATTTAGGGGTAGACTGCAGCGACTTCAGGATCAACTACAGTTGGGAGGAAATCTGGGAAAATGTTCAATGGGAGAAGACCACAGGGCCATAGAAGACCTGGTGGTCTTCTGCCGTAGAAGACCTGGTGGTCTTCTGCCATAGAAGACCTGGTGGTCTTCTGCCTTAGAAGACCTGGTGGTCTTCTGCCATAGAAGACCAGGTGGTCTTCTGTCATAGAAGACCTTGTGGTCTTCTGTCATAGAAGACCTTGTGGTCTTCTGTCATAGAAGACCTGGTGGTCTTCTGCCCTAGAAGAGCAGGTGGTCTTCTGCCCTAGAAGAGCAGGTGGTTTTCTGCCCTAGAAGACCAGGTGGTCTTCTGCCCTAGAAGAGCAGGTGGTTTTCTGCCCTAGAAGAGCAGGTGGTCTTCTGTCATAGAAGACCTGGTGGTCTTCTGCCCTAGAAGAGCAGGTGGTCTTCTGCCCTAGAAGAGCAGGTGGTCTACTGCCATAGAAAACCTGGTGGTCTTCTGCCATAGAAGACCAGGTGGTCTTCTGCCATAGAAGACCAGGTGGTCTTCTGCCATAGAAGACCAGGTGGTCTTCTGCCCTAGAAGACCTGGTGGTCTACTGCCATAGAAAACCTGGTGGTCTTCTGCCATAGAAGACCAGGTGGTCTTCTGCCATAGAAGACCAGGTGGTCTTCTGCCCTAGAAGACCAGGTGGTATTCTGCCCTAGAAGACCAGGTGGTATTCTGCCCTAAAAGATCAGGTGGTATTCTGCCCTAGAAGACCAGGTGCTATTCTGCCCTAAAAGATCAGGTGGTATTCTGCCCTAGAAGACCTGGTTGTCTACTGCCAGAGAACACCAGGTTGTCTTCTGCCATAGAAGACAAGGTGGTCTTCTGACATAGAAGACCAGGTGGTCTTCTGCCATAGAAGACCTGGTTGTCTACTGCCAGAGAAGACCAGGTGGTCTTCTGCCATAGAAGACCAGGTGGTCTTCTGACATAGAAGACCAGGTGGTCTTCTGACATAGAAGACCAGGTGGTCTTCTGCCATAGAAGACCAGGTGGTCTTCTCCTATAGAAGACCAGGTGGTCTTCTGGCAAAGAAGACCAGGTTGTCTTCTGCTCTAGAAGACCAGGTGGTATTCTGCCCTAGAAGACCTGGTGGTTTTCTGCCCTAGAAGACCTGGTGGTCTACTGCCATAGAAGACCTGGTGGTCTACTGCCATAGAAATCCTGGTGGTCTTCTGCCATAGAAGACCAGGTGGTCTTCTGCCATAGAAGACCAGGTGGTCTTCTGCCATAGAAGACCAGGTGGTCTTCTGCCATAGAAGACCAGGTGGTCTTCTGCCCTAGAAGACCTGGTTGTCTACTGCCAGAGAAGACCAGGAGGCCTTCTTCCACAGAAGACCAGGAGGTCTTCTGCCATAGAAGAGCAGATGGTCTTCTGCCAGAGAAGACCAAGAAAAATACTTGGTCTCCTAGGAAAGAAAAATATCTGACATATTTTGGAAGAAGATCACTTGGCTTTAATTTCTCTATCTCTCTCTCAGTCACTCTCTCTCATTTTGCTCAAAATATCTCCCCTTTCCCCTTGCATCCCTTCCTCTAGTCTCTGTAGTATCACAAACCACCTATACCTCCCCATCTTCGCGTAGCTCCCGACACAGACCAAATATTCGATTTTCACTTTGTCATCCTTCGTATTATATGGTTATTGTTATTGTTTTTACTGGGCGAGTTTAAATAAAACAACAAAAAGACTTGATGATAACAGCTCTGAAAATGTCTAGTCACAGCGCTTAAAATGCTTTTATTTTTATTTGTGTAAATTTATTTGTTTTATTAGATGCCACCGTTCTCAGAGGAGGTCTTTAACTCGCACGCTAAATGATTTGGCAAAATTTTCGAAAAAAAAAAATTATTGTTCCTCGTTGATAACGTTGTGATATTTTGCGATTTTTTGCCTTGTAATTATTCTGGTATTGAGACGACACACTTTGGTGATAAGCGGCGGAGAATTGAAATGGGTGGCAGTTGATAAAGATTTTAGAAAAAAAATAAATAAAATAAAAATAGTTATAATAACAATAATAAAAAAAACTAGAAGTCAAAAAGATGGCAGGCAGCTTGCAAGCGATAAACGTGGGAATTGAATGATGTGCAAAATATTGGAGATTTTTTTGCAATTTTATGTTATGACACAAGAATTATGAATTAGGGGTAGATTTATTGCAGGATTTTGAATTTTTTAAAATTTCATTTTATTTATGCTGGCCATTATTAAGACCCCCCCCCCCCCCCCCCCCCCTACCATTGTGCCAAGTCATGCTAATCAATTTGAATTTATTTGGATGGTACTTAGCCACATGTTTCCTTGATGCCTATTTGTCCCTGATAAGATTTCGGCGATATTGAGGAAGATTAAAATATATTATGAACAATAATATTCTCGAGAGGAGCCATGAAACGAGATTAGATAATTCAAAAGCTTCTCCAGACAATCTGTCTATTTTTTTTTTCAAATATTGTGCTCGGCAACCAGTACTAGAAACAAATTTCAAATTATTTTGTAAAAAAAAAACATTGAGCAGATTTTATGTATATGAAGTGATTTTTTTGGCTAGTGGTTTTGGAAGAGATTCCCTTAAAATTTTCGAGGCAGATTATTCCTAAAAAAACCTCAATCCTCAAAAAATCAAAAATGTTGGTGTATTTTCCTTGAAAATTTTTTTAATCATTTGGTTTAAGGACCTTGCAGGAAATACTTTGAAAAATCTAGAAAATGGCAAATAATTCCTAACAGCAAATCCTATATAGTTTGACTGAAGGTCCTTGAAAAATATTCTCTAAAAATTTCTAGTCCCCAAAAAATGATGGTGGATCGAAACTTTTTTTTTTAAATTTTAGAAATTTAAGCTGAGAGTCCTTGAAAAAGTTCTTTAAAATAATAAAAAAAAATTCTTGAAATTTTTATTTTTTTTTACTTATATATAATAAATATACAGATTTTTTGTGGTTGGTACCGGAAAAAATATTTAAAAAAAATAATCGATTATATGACTGATAGAGATTTTAAAATATTCGTGGAAAGAAATTTTTTGCCAGATTTTTGTTCTTAAAAAAAATTCTAATACCAGTAAAAAAAGGCTTAAAGTCGGTCGGGGCCGACTTTATGATACCCTACACCACTTTGCTAATTTAGTAGAGCTCCACATAACAATTAATAGGTTTTATGGAAGAATTCAATCTTACACGCTATGATTATAATTATAATTTAAAGTTCAAAGGACAAAATATGCCGAAACATTTGAATTTTTTATATTCGGACTTGTATTGGCCATTTGGTGCACAATTTATTTGAAATCGGATAAAGATATATATGGGAGCTATATCCGAATCGGAACCGATCTCGATAAAATTTGGCAAAAATATTTCTGAGCTGTATTTCATATATTTCCCTAAATATCGTTGTTACGGGCTGCATATTACGGCTGTGGGTAACAAGTCGAATGAACAGTATATATGGGAGCTATAGCTATATCTGAACCGATCTTCACCAAATTTGACATACTAGCTTCTAGACTCAATTCGGTCGTAAGTGCCAAATTCCATCCCATTTGGACAAATATTAGACTTTTGGTGCACAATAAAAGGTAAGTCGGACGAAGTTATATATGGGAGCTTTATCCAAATCTGAACGGATTTCGATAAAATTTAGCAAATATATTTCTGAGCTCTGTTTGATATATTTCCCTGAATATCGTTGTTATGGAGTGTATATTACGGCTGTGGGTAACAAATATAACAAATCGGATGAACAATGTATATGGGAGCTATAGCTATATCTGAACCGATCTTCACCAAATTTGACATACTAGTTTCTAGACCCAATTTGGTCGTAAGTGCCAAATTTCATCCCAGTTGAACAAATATTAGACTTTTGGTGCACAATAAAAGGTAAGTCGGACGAAGTTATATATGGGAGCTATATCCAAATCTGAACGGATTTCGATAAAATTTAGCAAATATATTTCTGAGCTCTGTTTGATATATTTCCCTGAATATCGTTGTTATGGAGTGTATATTACGGCTGTGGGTAACAAATATAACAAATCGGATGAACAATATATATGGGAGCTATAGCTATATCTGAACCGATCTTCAGCTTCTAGATTCAATTCGGTCGTAAGTGCCAAATTTCATTCCAGTTGGACAAATATTAGACTTTTGGTGCACAATAAAAGATAAGTCGGACGAAGTTATATATGGGAGCTATATCCAAATCTGAACGGATTTCGATAAAATTTAGCAAAGGTATTTCTGAGCTGCATTTGATATATTTCCCCAAATATTGTTGTTACAGAGTGCATATTACGGCAGCGGAGGACAAATGTAACACATCGGATGAACAATATATATGGGAGCTATAGCTATATCTGAACCGATTTCGATTAAATTTGGCATATTTATTTTCAGGCCTAATTTGGTTGTATGTGCAAAATTCCATACTATTCGATACTGATATTACACGTTTGGTGTACAATATAAGGCAAATCGGACGAAGATATATATGGGAGCTATATCTAAATTTTTACCGATTATCTCCAATTTCAATAGGGTTCGTCGTTGGGCCAAACAAATGATTTCTGCAAAATTTCATCTGGATCGGGTAATAAATGTGAACTGTACTTTGCTCACAAAAATACATGGACAGACGGATGGACGGACGGACATGCATAAATCGACTCAGAATGTGATTCTATGCAGATCATCAAAAGGAACTATGGGTCCATCTCGTTTCCTTTTGCCTGTTGCAAACAAATGCACAAAGACATAATACCCTGACCACCTTGTGGTATAGGGTAGAAACAGCCTATAGCTTTTAATATGGTTCCACTGTAATTTATATGTTCAAAGTGAGAATAATTTTGAACTTGAAATCGCCATGTATGTCTACGTATCTGGGGGTGTGTAAAATATTTAAATATTATTACTGTTAATTATAGGGGGATGCATTGTTCAATATGTAAGCTTTACAAGAAACCGGTTTCAAGCCATAATTGATTTGTTTTTCCGCTAGAAAGCTTTGTGTCAAGTCATTGGGTGACGTTTCAGACATATTTTCAACATTGTCTTGATTGCACGATTACAACAATAAAAATGTGTTCTCTTTAAATAATTTTTAAAACAATTAAAAAAATGAATTTTAATTTTATTTATTTATTTTTTTTTTAAATAATAAATATTCATTTTAAAGTTTTTTTATTAATTTTATTTTTCATAAAAAATAAATATTTATTTTTTTATTAATTTTGTTTTTTTTTTTTTTTATATAAAAAAACACATTTTAATTTATTATTTTTATTCTTTTTATTAATTTTTTTTTTTCATAAAAAATTGTCCATATTTTTTGTTTACAATTTATCTACCTTAAGGAAAATACCATTTTTCGAACACAGCACAAACGATTTGGTATCCCAAGTCAATGGAATTTCAGTCTCTTCACATACGGAAAATTTAAAATTACGCAGCAGGTAAGCCATACCGGCGCGCGTTTGCATAATGCCAAAACGCATACCAATACAGTTGCGTGGTCCATCACCGAAGGCTAGAAATTCAACTGTTTCACGATGTTTCACAGCACTGGCCTCAAAACGATCCGGATCGAATTTCTCTGGATTGGGATATAGGTCGGGATCATGATGCATACCATAGGCCGGTATGAGGACGGGCATGCCCTTGGGAATGACATATTTTGGATTACCCGGCACAACGTAGTCCACCAAGGCCTGGCGATTGAGATGCGGTACAATTGTGTATTTGCGGAGGGTTTCTACAAAGCACACAGAGAGAGAGAGAGAAAAATATAGAGAACACATTTGAGAAACAAAATATAAATTAAATATTTTTGAGTTTTCTAGATGCAGAAAGAGTCATAGGGGTGTGAATACAGCATATTTATAATTCACCAAACATTTAAGCAATTTATACTTATTTTGGATATTTAATTAAAAATATAATTTTATCAACCCAAAATAATTACATTTCTAGTCACGTAGGTGTTTGTTGCCCAAGCTATGTATTAGTCCGCTCATTTAAATTGATGACAAGCTTTTTTGATAGCTATCAATATTTCAATGCTAATACTGTCAATAAAATTCCCAAAAATACAATTTCTAGTCGAATATCTAATATCTTGACCAAAAAAAAAAAAAAAAAAAAAAATATCTAAAAGAGGTTAAATTATTAAAAAAATTAAAAATGTGTTTTTTTGTTCTAATTGAGGGTTCTGTGAAGTTTTGGTAATTTTTTAAATATGTATAACAGTTTGTATAACAGTTTTTGGTAACTGTTATACTGAAGCAAAAAGTGTTATACAACATAATTACAGCCAAATCAATGCATTTAGTAATTATTTAAAGCGTTTTGGCATTTTAAAGTGTATAACAGTTTTAATGTAAACTCGTATACTTTAAGAACAATACAATATCTAAACAATTTCTCAGTTTGATGCAAAAAGTTACCCAACAACAGGTAAAAAATTAAATTTTTTAAATGGATAATTTTAGCTATAATTAAGGATTTTTCATAATTTCTATTTGGATAACAGTTTTTATTGTAACTGTTATACTAAAGCTATAAGTGTTATACAACATTAGAACAGCCAAATCAATAAACTTATTAATAATTTTATGACTTCGGACATTTTAAACTGTATAACAGTTTCAATATTAACTCTTATACTTAGGAACAATTCAATATCTAACCAATTTCTCAATTGAATGCAAAAATTAGCCAACATCAAGAAATTGTTTAAATGTTTTTAGAAAATTTCAATTTGTATAACAGTTTTTATGGTAACTGTTATACACAAAAATAAGTTTTATACAACTTAATTTCTGAAAAATAAATGTATTTAACAATTATTTTATGAGTTTTTCCATTTTTAAGTGCATAACAGTTTTAAAGTTAATCTCTTATACTCAACGAAAATTACAACATCTAGCCGATTCAGACAAAAATAAGTAAAAATTATTTAAAAAAATTCAAAACAAAAATAATTTTAGACATAATTAAGCATTTTTATATTTTTTACACTTTTTCAATTTGTATAACAGTTTTTATGGTAACTGTTATACTGAAACTATAAGTATTATACAACTTTAGTTCTACCAAATGAATGTATTTAGCAATTATTTTATGAGTTTTTCCAATTTTTAAGTGAATAACAGTTTCAAGATAAGCTCTTATAGGTACTCCAGAAAAATTACAACATCTATCCGATTTAGCCAAAAATAAATAGAAATTATTTTTGGAAATTTAAAAGATTGATAATTTTGGATATAATTAAGAATTTTTATGTGTTGTATGATATTTTCAATTTGTATAACAGTTCTTAGGTAAATGTTATACTCAAAAAATAAGTGTTATATAACTTTATTTCAGCCAAATCAATTTATTTAGCAATTATTTGATACATTTTGTTCATTCTAAAGTGCTTTAAAAATTTAAGATAAACTGTTATATTCAAGAAAAATAACATCTATTAACCGATTTCTCAAGTTGAGGCAAAAAGTTCCCCAAGAACAAGTAAAACTGAATTCAAAAACAACAAAATTAGTTATTTTAGCTATTGTTAAGGATTTTTTCAGTTTTTTTCTGCAACTTTTTATTTGTATAACAGTTTTTTTGTAACTGTTATACTGAAAGGAAAACTGTTTTGCATCTTAATTCTAGTTAAATTAGTGTGATAAGCATTTTGTGAGTTTGGGCTTTTTCACGAGTAGAACAGTTTCAAAATAAACTGTTATACTTAGCAAAATTTTGTTGTAATGGCGAAAAAATGATTATGTTCCATAATTTTGTTAAATATGTCACTAAATATAAGAAAATGGATTTTTCAACTATTATGATACAGTTGATTGCATTTGTTTTAGTGATAAAACTGTCATTTTTAATAGTGTTTGTGGCATTTTAGTACATTTTTTCAATTATATAAGAGTTTTTGTGTAACTGTTATACTGAAATAATAAGTGTAATACAATAGAATTTCAGCCTAACTAATGTATTTAGCCAATTTTTCATGAATTTTCGCCATTTCAAATTGTATAACAGTTTCAAGATAAACTGTTATACTTAAAAAAAATGTCTTATTCTCACGAAAAAAATGTCACGTAGTACAAAAAACGGATTTGTTTGACTATTGCAATATAATTGTCTGCATTTGTTACTCTAAAAAAACTGTTATAAAGTCTGTAAGAGCTGTTTTCTAATAACTATTAAACGATAAAATCACTATTTTTTAGTAAAATTAAGGTTTTTTAACTTTTTCTAAAAGTTTAAGCAGTTTAAGAACAGTGATACATAAGAAAAATGTTTATTATACATTAATAACGGAAAATTCTAGCCAATATTAATTTGCTATACAACTTTAGCATAAATTTTGCCTGGAATATAACAGTTTCACCGATGCGGGAAATGCAAAAATCAATAAAAGTTTATGGTTTCTAGATGTTTTCGTAATATTTCTAAAAAAATGTTAAAGTTTTTTGTAATTTTTAAATTTGTATAACAGTTTTTGGTAACTGTTATACTGAAACTAGAACTGTTATACAATTCAATTTCATTCTTTTCAACTTATTAAACAATTTTTTTGTACAGTAATGACACCTTTGGACTGCATAACAGTTTCCTGAAAAACTGTTATACTCCATAAAAATTTTGTTATACACTATAATGTAGTCAATAATGCCAGTTAAAACCAAAATGTACTTCTTTGACCTTTTCTAACATGTTTGTTTATATTTAATTCAGGTATAACAGTTAATCAGTCACAGATAACGATTATCTTGTGTTTACTAAGCAACAGATTTTATATATAAAAAATACACTCATTATAATTATCTTTTAAATTGTTGTTCATTTGGTAGCTATGACAATTAGGCCTTGGCTATGAAACACTTTAACCGATAAAGTTAAACAAAATTGTTTTTATGAATTAAATACCCGAAATTTATGTTGTCTTCATTTTCATGTAAACTTGTAGCCATTTTTTTATGATTTTCTAGCAGTATTTTCCATACTGCCTCTTAAAGATAAGAGTATAGAAACAATAATGAATTAAAATTTTCTGAATTGTTCTAGAATTATATGGCAGTTAAAACAAACTGATTGTTACTCAGTAGGCCACAAACAAGAATCTGCAACATTTTTTTTAACATCGCATAGAATTTGGCAGTATAACAGTTTAATAAAAACTGTTATACGACAGCAAAACTTGCCATATATGAATACTCAGTAGGCTACAACCAACAATCCGTAGTAGTTTTTAATATTTTGAAAATATTTGGTGAATTTATGATTTTTTGTGTATAACAGTTTTAGATAACTGTTATACTGAAAAAAATTGTTGCATAGTAGGCCACAAACCAGACTCCGCAACATTTGTTAAAATCGCATAGAATTTGGCAGTATAACAGTTTAATAAAAACTGTTATACAACAACAAAACTTGCCATATATGAATACTCAGTAGGATACAACCAACAAACCGTAGTAGTTTTTAAAATTTTGAACATATTTAGTGAATTTATGATTTTTTTGTGTATAACAGTTTTAGATAACTGTTATACTAAAGGAGAACTTATTACTCAGTAGGCCACAAACGAGAATCCGCAACATTTTTTAAAATCGCATTGAATTTGACAGTATAACAGTTAAAGGAAACTGTTATACAAAGGCAAAACTTGTTAAATATGAATATACAGTAGGTTATAAACAAGAAATTCATAATAGTTTTTTCAATTGAATAAAATTTGGCAGTATAACAGTTTGTTATAACTGTTATACTAAAATAAAACTTGCTACATATGAACTTGTAGTAGGATAAAAACACCAAAACCCGTAGTACCTTTTAAAATTTCATAGAATTGAACTGTATAACAGTTTAAGATAACTGTTATACAAAAGAGAAAACTGATTTATGTATACAAACACACAAATGCAATTTATATTGAAAAAAAAATCTATTAAAAATTTAACATAACTGTTATACTCAAGCATAGACTATCACAGAGGAATGTGGAAACACCACAGCCATATTTGAGTTATCTTGATAATGTTTTGACCCCCAAATTATTACATCGTCTACCCCTTTTCAAACTCACCCGATATAACCTGTCCCAGATACGGCAGGCCATGCAACGTTTCATAGCTAATACTGCCATCAGCATTAAATGCCTCATTGATTTCCTCACGCATTCTATCCTGTACATCCTGATTCAACGCCAATTCGTACAGAGCAAAACCCATTGTCGATGATGAGGTCTCAAAGCCACCCACAAAGAAAACAAAAGCCTGGGCCGCCATTTCCTCCAAACTCAGCGTGACACCATCCGATTTTCCTTCACCATTTTTCAAATCAATTAAAATCGAAAGAAAGTCATTGGCCTTGATGTTGTTCTGCTCGCGATAGGCCACCGTTTCGCGTACAATACGCATAAAAAAATCATTGACATCATCGGGCACCATGCGCATATCCAATTTCTTGGCCAGGTTGGGAAAACCCTGTATGAACCCCGTCAACAGTTTGCCATGTCTGCGTCCACTGAGGGATCTCTTGCCCATAATGCGAAATTCGGCATTCGGGTCTTTGAGGCTGTTGCATTCAATGCCAAAGGCACACTTGCCAATGACATCGGTGGTAAAGCGGGCCAATAGCTCCTTAATCTCTACCACATTGTTTTTATTCTTTTGACTTAATTCTCCAAAAACTCTGACGAAATTCTCGGCCACCTCCATTATGGTGGGGTACATGAAGCGCATTTTACCCGAGGTAAAGGTGGGCGACAATTTGTTGCGTAGATTTTTCCATTTAGCCCCGTCTAGAAGGAATAAGTGGCCCGTTAGGGGATCGGTTTTCTCGTTGTGGAACAATCCCCGATCGGTGAATTTGGAAAAGTCTTTGATTAGAATATTTTTGGCCAATTCTGTTTCCAACACCAAGACAGCCGGCCTCTGGAAAAAGTAGAATCCACAAAAGGGTCCCGAACCCTTGTGCTTTTCATAGGGTTCCCGCGTACAATCGGCAAAACTGCGTGTGGTCATCAGACCCTGAAAATTGCCAGCCATCAGACTGGGTTCATCGTGAGGAATACCCAGCTGCTTCCAGTAGTTCATGCGTTTCTTGACGAAATACCAAGCCAATGTGGTCACCGTAATAATGGCGTATAACAGATATGTAATTAAAGCCATGTTAGAACTTTGCGTTTCTGTTTTTCAATTTAGCCGTTCGTTTGCTCCGCCGTTCATTGCTAGACTAACTGAATGTGCTGGTGCTGTCAGAGGGTATATAGCTGCTCTCAGAGCGTAAACATATGTTAAAAGCTTGTTTAATAACGCTGACTGGTTATCGCAAAATGTTGCCTCTTCATCTAAGATAACATGAAGGATGGGTGAGCTAAGAACGCACAGAAATATAGTAAGAAAGTAGAAAAAGAAAAACATTTATGAATAATTGCCACCTATACGTATCTGTTTGACTCACCAGCAAAGTTTTGATTTGAGAGCAAATTTAACCAATTAGTAAAGCAATCGGTGAGGGGAAACAATAAAATATGCTGATAGGTCGTGGTTATTGGGGTATTTCAGTTTTAATAACTATTATACACTATAATTAAAACAACTTGTTAGGGCAAGAAAAATGCATTTCATGATTTATAGGTGGTTTTTTTTAATGTATAACAGTTTTAGAAAACTGTTATACAAAATCAATAATACGTAAATTACACACTTAATGGTAAGAATGTAATTTTGTATAATTTTATTACATTTCTAAGGTGTATAACAGTTTGGCATAACTGTTATACTGGAGAAAATGTTTGCAAAAGCTATGACAAACACTTTGAGGTCACTTCAAACTCAATTTTGTATAATTTCCCTACATTTCTAAGGTGTATAACAGTTTGGCATAACTGTTATACTGGAGAAAATGTATGCAAAACCTATGGCAAACACTTTGAGGTTACTTCAAACTCAAAAACACTTAATTTTAAACTGTATAACAGTTTGGCCTAACTGTTATACTACGAAAATATTGCTATAAAATACATAGAAATAGTTTTAAACAATCTGAACATATATGTGAGTTAAAGTAGTTAGACTTTAAAATGTTAAAATGTCCTGTCATACGTCTTAGAATTTGGCAGCAATAAAAACGAAAATATAAAACATTAAGTTCATGATTTTTTAAATAGGTTTGCAAGTGTATAACAGTTTATTGAAACTGTCTTAAAACATGGAATATTAAGCAAATTTATGTTGAAAACGAAAAAAGAGGAATTTTGAGGAATTTTAGCTAATCGTTCATTTGTATAACAGTTTGACATAACTGTTATACTAGAGAAAAAATGTGCAAAATTTATAATAAACTTATTAGGGATATGTTAGGCATATAGATAACTGAAATCTGAGTGTATAACAGTTTGAGAAAACTGTAATACTACGAAAATATTGTTGAAAATTTTATAAAAATGGAATAAACAACAAACAAAAAAAAAAAAAAGAAATATTCTTTTATACAGGGTGAGATGAAAAAACTGCAACCAACTTCAGACTGCCTGCAACCAAATGCCGAATATTATGGCGAAAAAATCCTGAAGGGTGTATGAAAGCCTTGGGCATGCAAACATTTTGGCCGCAGACCTTGGACATTCCAATAGGACTCAGCAGGCGTCACCTAAGCATGGTTACAAAATGAGGTCCCTCGGTTCCTTTCCAGCGTATAGTGACCACCAAAATCTCCAAATACCAATCCGTTGGACTATTGTGTCTGGAGTATTTTGAAAATCAAGGTTGGCACTAAAAAATACCAAAATACCGCAGAGCAAGATTCGGGCAGCGTGTGACAGTTTCATTGGCCTTTCGAATGCCATAAGTGACTACTTCGCACAAATCTAAACTTATTCTAAAACGATGCTACTATTTCCGACATTTTTTTCTTTCAATCAACAAAATTTACAACAAAAAAAGGTAAAAATTTAGGCATTTGACTTGGTTGCAGTTTTTTTATCTCACCCTGTTCAAACACCTCAGTTGAAAAACGTTATCTTAAAAAAAAAATCCAAGCAACGCCTCTGTTGTAGAACGTTTTCGTTAAAAAAAATCCCCTCCACGGCTCTGTTGAAAAAAAAAATGATTTCAAAAAATCGACTCAACGGCTCTGTTGGAAAAAAGTTTTCTTTAAAAAAAAACCATTCCACGCCTCTGCTGAAAAAAGTCTTATTTTAAAAATTCACTCCACGCCTCTGCTGAAAAAAGTCTTCTTTAAAAAATCCACGCCTCTCTTTAAAACCGTTTTTTAACCTACGCCTCTGTTGATAAAAGTTTCTTTTAAAAAATCCACCACTCTGTTGAAATCGTTTTTTTTTAATCCATGACTCTGTTGAAATCGTTTTTTTTTTAATCCACGCCTCTGTTGAAATCGTTTTTTTTTAATCCATGACTCTGTTGAAATCGTTTTTTTTTTAATCCACGCCTCTGTTGAAAAAAAAAATTATTTCTAAAAATCCACTCAACGGCTCTGTTGAAAAAAGTTTTCTTTAAAAAAATCCATTCCACGCCTTTGCTGAAGAAAGTCTTCTTTAAAAAATCCACGCCTCCCTTGAAAAACGTTTTTTTTAATCTACGCCTCTGTTAATAAAAGTTTCCTTTAAAAAATCAACGCCTCTGTTGAAAAAAGTTTTTTTAATCCATGCCTCTGTTGAATTTTTCATCTGTTGAAAAAAACATTATTTCTAAAAATCCACTCAACGGCTCTGTTGAAAAAAATTTTCTTAAAAAAAATCAATTCCACGCATCTGCTGAAAAAAGTATTCTTTAAAAAATCCCCGCCCCCCTTGAAAAACTTTTTTTTTAATCCATGCCTCTGTTGAAAATGTTTTTTTTTTTTTAAATCCATGCCTCTGTTGAAAAAGTTTTTTTTTTTTTAATCCATGCCTCTGTTGATTTTTTTTTTTAATCCACGCCTCTGTTGAAAAAAAAATTATTTCTAAAAATCCACTCAACGGCTCTGTTGAAAAAAGTTTTCTTTAAAAAAATCCATTCCACGCCTTTGCTGAAAAAAGTCTTCTTTAAAAAATTCACGCCTCCCTTGAAAAACGTTTTTTTTTTTTAATCTACGCCTCTGTTAACAAAAGTTTCCTTTAAAAATCCACCCCTCTGTTGAAAAAGTTTTTTTTATCCATGCCTCTGTTGAATTTTTCTTTTAATCCACGCCTCTGTTGAAAAAAAAGAATTATTTCTAAAAATCCACTCAACGGCTCTGTTGGAAAAAGTTTTCTTTAAACGAAAAACCATTCCACGCCTCTGCTGAAAAAAGTCTTCTTAAAAAGTCCGCGCCTTCCTTGAAAAACGTTTTTTTAATCCACGCCTCTGTTAATAAAAGTTTCCTTTAAAAAATCCACCCCTCTGTTGAAAAAGGTTTTTTTTTTAATCCACGCCTCTGTTGAAAAAAAAAAATTATTTCTAAAAATCCACTCAACGGCTCTGTTGAAAAAAGTTTTCTTTAAAAAAAATCCATTCCACGCCTCTGCTGAAAAAAGTATTCTTTAAAGAATCCCCGCCTCCCTTGAAAAACGTTTTTTTTAATCTACGCCTCTGTTAATAAAAGTTTCCTTTAAAAAATCCACGCCTCTGTTGAAAAAGGTTTTTTTTTAATCCATGCCTCCGTTGAAATGGTTTTTTAATCCACGCCTCTGTTGAAAAAATTTTCCATTAAAAAGTCCACTCCACGCCTCTGCTGAAAAAAGTCTTCTTTAAAAAGTCACTCCACGCCTCTGTTGGAAACAAAGTCTACTTTAAACAATCCCGTTTTCGTTTCCTTCCATGAATTTATTGCATTCCAGGTAACGCCTGAAAGTATGCTTTGGTTCTTTTCACATCAATTGGCTTCATTCACCCAACATTAAAGAGGATTGAAGGTAGCTTTTTATTTGATGCATTTTATGGCTGAAAATAATTATTAAAAAAAAAAAACAATTTTCTTTCGACTGGAAAAGTTAGTGAAAATCCGAAATTGATGATATTATTATTTTTATAATTTATTTAATTCAAATTTTCTCTACTTTCAAATATATTCCACTACTCAGACTGGCTATATATTTGGTATTTCTATCAAATTCTATGACTTTTGGACTTTTCTCCGACAGAGTGAATCGAAAATTAACCAACAGTGTTGAGAGAGCATACAGTAGCTCCATCACACCAAAACCAAAGGCAATGCAGTTGCGTGGCCCATCACCAAATGTGAGGAAGGTGTGAGTTGGCCTCTGTTTTTCCGAAGATTCTTCAAATCGCTCCGGTAAAAATTCCTTTGGATTGGGATAGAAATCCTCATCATTGTGTATGCTGTAAATGGGTAGCATTAGTGTGGCTCCTTCGGGTATTTCTAAGGGACCAGATTTGGTGTTAAGGGAGCAAGATTCCCGGCACAGACGCAGCATTGCAGGGACAATGGGATATTTCCGCAAAGTTTCTAAAATGAAGAGGATTTTTTTTATAATTTCTTTAAAAATTCCGGTTTTTTTTTCAAATGATTTATGGTCTATTTTTTGGGACAAAACGAAAGTGAACTCGGATAAAATTAATTTTTCCTTGCAATTTTTTTTTCAAATTTCCGATTTTTTTAAATTTAATTTTTAAAAAAAATACTCCCAGAATTGAAGATTTTTTTCCGATTTTTCTTTCGAATCGCCATGGAGAAATATTCCAGCAGCCTTACCCATAATAACTTGTTTGACATATTTCAGAGACTTCAAATTTTCATAGCTGACTTTCTGCGATGTCACCACCTGCTGCACCTCCATCCTGGCCTTTTCCTGCAACTCGGGTTTCTTGGCCAGCTCATATAGGGCCTGACACAAAGCCGTTGATGAAGACTCATAACCTCCAATGAAGAAGATAAAAACATGACCCACTATCATATCCATGGTCAACTGGAACTCATCCTCGTTGTCCCGACACTCCAACAGCAAATCCAAGAAATCATTACGCCGAACTTTGTACTTCTCGCGATACTCCACAGTGTCCTGGACAAGTCTCCCAAAAAATTCAATTGATTGCCTTGAATGATATTTGAAATTCAGCAAATTCATGAGACGAGGATATTTCACACAAATCTGATCGGTGAGGGGGCGAAAATGTTCCACCAAAGCCTTTTCCATGCGGGTCTTAAATTGATTCTGGCCATCTTCCAAACAGTTCACCTCAATGCCAAAAGCAATGGTACCAATGACATCCATGCTAAAACGTTTACACCAATCATGCATTTCGAGAATGCCATCAGCAGACCTCTCCAACTCATCGGTGACAATTTTCACAAAACGTTCTCCCACCTGGGTCATGGTGGGAAACATGTACTTCAGCTTGGCTGGGGTAAAGGCAGGCGCCAATTTACGTCTCAATGGCTTCCACAAATCATATTTATATCTCACCAGATTTGCCATCAATGGATCCTGGTTATTGACATAGAATCCTCTCTCCGGAAATTTCTCAAATTTCGATGTCAGCACCTCCGTGATGGCTGTGTGATCCTGCAGTATAACCGATGTGGTGAGACTTGTTTCAATGACCTTGCATGGCTTTCCCTCCACTTTCATTTGGCGATACAGCTCATCGAGTATTTCAAATAGATGCTGCCTGCGGCTCTTACCCAGCATATACCAAACACCAAGCAAATCCACATTTTGTCGCTTCCAAAAGGCAATTTTCCGTCTGTAGTTGAAGAAAATCAAAAGCAGCGACGTCAGCAGCAGAAGTGCTAGACTTATAAAATCTAGCATTTGGAGAGTTTTTCGTTTCTTAAGTGATGGCAGACTTTATCTCTGACTGGTGGCTAATCTCGTACTGAAAACATGCTTGTCAAACGAAATCGCATCAAGCTGCGCTTTTGCACTGATAAAACCGGATTTCAGTGATTGCATTGCCCGAATGACCCACAAAACGTTCGTTGGCATTTCGAGGAGATAAAAAATAGAAAAAAAAAAAAATAGATTTTTTGGACTTTTCAAAAAAGTTGAGAGAGAGTTTTGATCTACCCTCAAAGAGCAAGAGTAATTCAATCCCAAAACGAGAATTGACAATGGATGAGTTTGAAAATTTTGATACTATAGAGAATTTTGAAAGCTATTCCTTTAAAAATTCAAGGTTATACCCATTGCGAAAATATTCTTTAGAAACGTCCTCGAGAATATACCTTAATGTCCTTGATTTTTTTTTTTTTTAAATATTGTTACATTAATAGGTATTCCTTTAAAAAATTTCAGCATTATAGCTTTAGCCGTTTCGATTTTATTTGTCGTTTTCTCAATTGATTCATTGCCTTATAGTAAAGGCCTAAAAGCATGCTAAGGTTTTTTTTTATCAAAGCCATTGGCTATATTTACTCACTACTGAAGGGAAGTGTAACCATTAATGTTTAAATGAGAAATTGAATCTTTTGATTGAAAATATATTGGAAATGGATTTTCTTTCAAGGAAAGTAATAGAAAATACTTAGCCAATGGTGAGAGAGAGAGGTTTTGATCCGAGAAAGAATAATTTAACTCGAAACTTAAATCTATTAATTGAGGAATATTTCGATAGAGTTATGACACTTTGCATTGCTACAAATTTATTGGCATTCGAAAGTGATTGAAAAATGTTTTTTTTTTTTTTTTTTTTTTTTTTTGGAAAATGAGGAGTTATATTTTAAAACGAAAATCAATATTCAACAAAATGGAATATTTCTCCAGAGGAAGGACACCATAATACCAAAACAATTAAAAAATGCACAAAACGGCTACCACCGGTTTTAGAAAAATAGTCACTAAAAATACACGAGGTCATCCATTTTAAAAATATTTACAAAAACACTAGAGAATAGCCGTAGAGTCCCTTAAGGGGAATATTTCAGAAGTCCTCTTACGAAATGAAAAACTTGGAATAAAATAAAAATAATAAATCGATCATAGATATATGGTGGCCTTTAAAAAATTACATACCTGAGGAAGGAACCTTTCAAAATTTTTTTAAATAAGCAAATATTGCAGTAATGACGGCCAACCAGAAACATTAATTTTAGGATCCAGGTTTTGCTGACTTTTGGTCATGCTAAAAATATTCTTCAAAAATCAAGTGTTTTTGGCATTTCAGTACTCGGAAAAATTATTTAAAAAAAATAATGGCATCTGAATAAATATTCTGTGGATTCTCAAAAATGATTCTTTAAAAATCCTTTATTTTTGAAAAATTATGAAAAACATTTGTGGGTTCCGAAAAAAAATTCTGTGGGCATTAAAAAAATATGCTTTTAAAAATCCAAGTTTCTTATGTTTTAGATTTTGAAAAAAAATATTTTTTAAAAATTCAATTTGTTTTTGTGTGGTATTTCAGTCCTTGGAGAAATTATTAAAAAAATTGTGGGTTCAAAAAAAAATTTCTTAAAAAAATTGTGGGTTCTGAAAATCATTCTCTGGTTTTTCTTAAAAATATCTCACGTTTGATGGTTCGTCGGTTCTGACAAAATATTCTTTAAAAAATCAACGTTTGATGATGTGTCGCTTTTGAAATAATATTCTTTAAAAAACCACGATTGATGTATGGGTTCTGAAAAAATATATTTTTTTTAAATCCACGTCTGGAGGTCTTGTGGTCGTTGAAAAAATATATTCTTAAAAAAATCCAAGTTTGGAGGTCTTTTGGTCGTTGAAAAATATATTTTTTAAAAAATCCACGATTGGAGGTCTTTTGGCCGTTCAAAAAATATTTTTTAAAAAATCCACGTTTGGTGACCTGTGGATTCTGAAAAACATTAAAAATAATCCATTATAAGTGTCATGGAGGTCTTACAAAAAAACTTTAAAAACATCCTTTATATGTGGCCTGCGGGCCATAGAACACAATTCTTTAGAAAATCTACGTTTCGTCCAATTTTAATTGTCCTTGAATGTTTTTCTTTAAAAAATTCACGTTTGTCAAATTTTGGAGGTCTTTTTATCCTTCAATAATTTTCTTTAAAAAATCCACGTTTCGTAAAATTGTAATGGTCCTAAAGTCCTCGAATATTTTTCTTTAAAAAAATCCACGTTTCGTAATATTTTAATGGTCCTAAAGTCCTTGAATATTTTTCTCTAAAAAATCCACGTTTTATCCAATTAGGATGGTCCATTAGTCCTTGAACATTTTTCTTTAAATAGTCCACGTTTTATCCAATTTGAATGGTCCATTAGACCTTGAACATTTTTCTTTAAAAAATCCATGTTTTATCCAATTTTGATGGTCTTTTAGTCCCTGAATATTTTTCTTTAAAAAATCCAAGCCTCTGTTGCTGATTGAAAAAATATTCTTTAAAAAATTCATGTTTTATCCAATTTTAATGGTCTTTTAGTCCCTGAATATTTTTCTTTAAAAAATCCAAGCCTCTTTTGCTGATTGAAAAAAATATTCTTTAAAAAATCCACGCATTTGTTGGTCCATGAAAAAATATTCTTTAAAAAATCCACGTCTCTGGTGGCTGTTGAAAAAATATTCTTTAAAAAATCCACGTCTCTGGTGGCTGTTGAAAAAATATTCTTTAAAAAATCCACGTTCTCTTAGTCCTTGAAAAAAAAAATATTCTTAAAAAAAACACGCCTTTGGCCTGGAAAGGCCTGGATTTTTTAAAGAATATTTTTCAACAGCCACCAGAGAAATCCTTGAAAAATTATTCTTTAAAAAAATCCTCTGGTGGTCCATGAAAAAATATTCTTTAAAAAATCCATGCCTCTGGTGGTCCATGAAAAAATATTCTTTAAAAAAATCCATGCCTCTGGTGGTCCATGAAAAAATATTCTTTAAAAAAATCCATGCCTCTGGTGGTTCATGAAAAAATATTCTTTTAAAAAATCCGTGCCTCTGGTGGTCCATGAAAAAATATTCTTTAAAAAAATCCTCTGGTGGTCCAAGAAAAAATATTCTTTAAAAAAATCCATGCCTTTGGTGGTCCTTGAAAAAAATATTCTTTAAACAAAATCCATGCCTCTGGTGGTCCATAAAAAAATTTCTTTAAAAAATCCACGCCTCTTGTGGTTGTTGAAAAAATATTCTTTAAAAAATCCACGCCTCAGTTGGTCATCCAAAAAAGCTTCTTTGCTACAATTCGCCGTGAATTTCACAATTATTTGAAAAAAGTACTCATATTCAAATATATTTGTTGTAATTGATATTCTAGAGTTTTAAAAATTATCAAATATACATTTTCATTATCAGTCATTAGCAGAGGTTCTTAGCTGAGGCACGGCTGAATTTTTATCATTTTGATAAAAAAAATTAAACAAATCGAAATTAATCTATTGAAAGTGTACGATTATATGTAATTGGATCTTTTATATTTCATAATTTAACGGTATATTATTTTAATGAAAGTTATCTCTTAACAAGATATTTAAACAAAAGAAAAAAAAAACTTCAGTAATGCAAGAACTTCGTATCTCTTGGCGTTATCTCAAAAGCTCTGAAATGTTTGAAAGTTGATTTGGGTAGAGTGTAAACGAATTGGGTGAGCACTACTCAGGAGAGATAATATGAAAATGAGAGAGGGGAATAAAGAGAGTGAAATAATGAGCATGTTAGAAGTGGGAGAAATTATACTGAAATTGCGAACTTATACAGAGTTGGTGAATTCGTACTAAGCTTATGATCTAAAAGTGAGTTTGTAAATTCTTACTTAGCTGGCGAACTCTTATTCAGCTGGCGAACTTTTATTGAATTGACGAAGTCATAATAAGCTGACGAACTCATGGTGAACTGGCGAACTCATAGTGAGCAGGCGAACTCATAGTGATCTGGCGAACTCATGGTGAGCTGGCGAACTCATAGTGAACTGGTGAACTCATAGTGAGCTGGCGAACTCATAGTGAGCTGGCGAACTCATTGTGAGCTGGCGAACTCATTGTGAGCTGGAGGACTCATTGTGAGCTGGAGGACTCATACTGAGCTGGAGGACTCATATGAGCTGTTGATCTCATACTGAGCTGGCGAACTCATACTGAGCTGGAGGACTCATACTGAGCTGGAGGACTCTTATGAGCTGTTGATCTCATACTGAGCTGGCGAATTCTCATATGAGCTGTTGATCTCATACTGAGCTGGCGAATTCATACTGAGCTGGCGAACTCATACTGAGCTGGAGGACTCATACTGAGCTGGAGGACTCATACTGAGCTGGACGACTCATATGAGCTGTTGATCTCATACTGAGCTGGTAAATTCATACTGAGCTGGCGAACACATATTGAGCTGGTGAACACATAGTGAGCTGGCGAACTCATACTGAGCTGGCGAACTCATACTTAGCTGGCGAACTCATACTGAGCTGGCGAACTCATACTGAGCTGCCAATCATTTTGGGAGCTAGCGAACTTGTATTGAGTTGGCAAATTCTTTGATGAATTGATAATATTTTCACGTCGATGGTAGGGTCTTTATTAAAATATAAAGAGGAAGAGCGACAGAGAGAGAGAGAGAGAGAGAAAAAGAGATTATTTCTCGTCATAAATGAGCAAATGCAGATCGCATGTGTCGTAAGTACATTTTTTATCAGTTAATATAAAAGAAGCTCCCCACGAAGCCACAACGTCTAGTCGAGGTTATCAGGCGGTGGGACATAGACGCCGTTGTATTGACAAACCAAAAAAAAAACTTGCAACCAACCACTTCAAACTTTGCGGAATCCAACTTGCGAAAGAGAGAGAGAGAGAGAAATAAAATAAATAAAACAATGTGGGAATTAGTTCTCCTATCTCTGGTGCTCCTCATTGCCTTAGCAATACAACACATCCGAGAGCACTACAAATATTGGCAA